ACACTAACTATTGACCCCAGTGATTATCTGACCTTGAATTCTATTCTTGATCCAATTTGACTCTTCAGTCCCACCCTATAAATCCCTGTGTGACCTGTCAGCTAAGCCATCCCAACTCATCCCTAATAAGCCCCTATTACTTACTTTATGATCTCATTACTACTCTGACTCTTACATTTGGTGCCCAGCACTTGGCTTTTTCCCACAATGCCCAAACCCCAGATCCCAACTGATTTTAACTTTCATCTTCCAAATGTACCCCCACCTGTACCTTGATCCCTCAGCTACCGTGTCTCCCGTGTCATTGAGCCACCATCCGCCTCCTGTCCCAGCTCCCCACGTGTACGGCGACGAATCAGCCTCACCAAGCGTCTCAGTGCGTGAGTCTTGGCTGGAGGGTGGGGGGTGGGTTGTGTGTGAGGTGATATGGTCTGAGATGGGCAGGCTGCTCCTGGGGCTGAGTCTGGCCTTAGCCTCATTCCTTGTCCCCATCCTCAGGAAGTTGTCCCGAGAGAGAGGCTCATCCCCTGGTGGGAGTCCTGGGGACCCCTCATCCCCCACCTCCAGGTGAGTGTCCCTCTTAGTGAAGGAATTGTAGATGACAGGGTCAGAGGTTGAGGTAGCTATAGCACCTCAGGCTCTGTGTCTTTCCCAGTCTATCTCCAGGGTCTCCTCCATCCAGTCCTAGAATGAGGGACCCACCTCCTGGAAGTCCCCCGGCCTCTCCAGGGCCCCAGGGCCCCAGTACCAAGGTACCAGGACTGCCTGTGGAACTGTGGGCACCTAGGGCTCTGTGTGTGTGTGTGTGTGTGTGTGTGTGTGTGTGTGTAGTGTATGGGATTTTAAGGCCAGGCATGTACATAGGAGATTATACTCATGCTTGACTCAGCACTTGGGGTGTCTGTCCAAGGGACCATGCACATTTTTGTGGTCTTGACTGAGGAATCATCCCTCCATCTGGTTTGTGCTCAGATCTAGACCCACGTGTCCGCTTGCCAACAGGCACTCTGGGATGCAATCACACACTTTTGTGAGAATAAGCGTGTCATCAGGAATTTGCGTTCTTAGAGGGGAAATGTGGGCATGAATACTCACACATCTACAGGACTATGTGCAGCCCTGTTCATGGACCTGGACTTGTGTGTGTAAAACAACTGTGAGCATATGTATGTACCCACTGTTCTGTGTACACAGGATTTGTGTGTGCACATGGGTTTATCTTAATCAGTTGTATAAATTTGTGTAACAAGGAGTGAAGGTCTGTATGTGATGGAGTTGCATACATGTGGGCTTGTGTGTGTGTGCCCTAATTGTGTGTCCCCTGGCTCTGGGTGTGTACGGGCAAGTGCTGAATACATTAATGAGGAAGGGGCTTACTGCTCTGCCACTGCTCAGCTTCCACCCCCCACTGCCTACAGCTGCCCCTGGCCTTAACCCTAAGCTGTCCTCGAATCCCCGTAGTGGGGCAGCAGGGCTCAGAGGCCCGAGTCATCCGAGTCAGCATTGACAATGACCATGGGAACCTGTATCGGAGCATCCTGGTGAGGAACTGGGCCAGGGACCTGCTGGGGGCAGCCCTTCTCTTGGGAGTCAGAACGTCATGCCTCACCTTTCACTTGCTTTTCCCAGCTCACTAGTCAGGACAAGGCCCCCAGCGTGGTGCAGAGAGCCTTGCAGAAGCACAATGTGGCTGAGTCCTGGGCCCGTGACTACCAGCTCTTCCAAGTCCTTCCTGGGGACAGGGGTGAGCAGGGACAGCTTGGCTGGGGGACAGCTGAGCTATGAGGTGGCACAGGCACAGAGCAGGGATAAGAGGATGCAGGGTGGGGGTAAGAGCTAGTAAAATATTTGTTTTTCAGTTATATGGCTCATGTGGTTATCCTGGCTTTGTGGGAAATGAGACTGTCCAGGGTTAAATGAGAGGGACTGTAGAAAGTTGTTTGGGCTTAAATGTATAGGATCACGAGGTTGTTCAGGGTCAGTCTGGTGGGCTGTGAGACTGGGAGGGGGTCTGGGCTTCTCTCTGAGGGGAAATGAGTTTGTCCAGACTCAGCATGAGGACTCTGAAGTTATCTGAACTTGGCATGGGAGAAGGCCACAAGGTATTGAAATTCAGGTAGGGGAGCATGAGGTTGCTCAGTGTAAGAGGTTGTCTAGTTTTTTAAAGGGAGAGGCAAGAGGTTGCTATATTAGAGGATGTGACCTGAAGTAGGCTGGACATTAGGGAGGAATATGTGAGATTCAGGTTTCAGGGGCCCCAGGTTGTGCAGGCTAGAAGTGGGAAGTGGGCAGAAGTTATCCAAGTTCATGGTAAGAGCAGCATGAATGTGGCTGGGAACTGGGTGGGAGGGGAGGAAGGAAGTTGTTTGGGATGGATGGCCTGAGTTTATCCAAGCTTGTAGTATAGAGTGTGCAGACTTCAGGGGAAACGGCAGGAATTGCCCAGGTTCATGGTGGGGAGGGAACCTGAGGCTGTACAGGCTTCAAGTAGGCAGTTGTCCAGGTTCCCAATGAGAGGAGTATGAAGATGGCTTAGCACTGGCTGAAGAGACCCAAGGTTGTTCAGGCCCCAGGGTGAATGGCAGAAGGTGACCTAGGTCCCTTGTGGGAGAAGTATGAGGTTGTGCAGGCCTTTCATTATTCTGTCCACGCCTGGCCAGAGCTCCTGATTCCTGACAACGCCAACGTCTTCTATGCCATGAGTCCAGCCGCCACTGGAGACTTCATGCTGCGGCGGAGGGAGGAGGCCAGGCACACCCCAGTCTGCCCAACCTGAGTTGGCCCGTTGCTGCCTCCAGGACACAGGTCCCCATGTGGGGATCATGGAGTCACCCTGGGGGCAGTGAGGGCACTCCCATTCCCCAGTAGAGCCCACTGTGCTCCATACCCTGTCACCCTCTCCCCCAAGTTTATTGGTCCCCATCCATCTGACCCTCTTGGCACTGAATCCCTAATCCAAAGCCATCAGCTCACAGCATGGCTGGTGGAGAACTGCATGCTGGGGATCAGACCCTTCCCCAGAGAAATCTTGGTAACTGTTGGAACTGACAGAAGTAGAAGAAAACAGTGACCAAAATTATGAAACAGGAGTCAGTCTTTTTCGTTTGGTGCCTGTGCTTCATGTTCACTCTTCATTGAGATAAAAATGTAAAAGAAAAAACTAAGAGTCCTAAAAACGGGGTTGGATGAAGCATGACCAGACACTGGGAGATGGTGGCTGTCATGCACACAGGTTTCAGAACTCCCTCCCCAACACTTTTAGGGTGGTATGCTTCTTTTCTGCTGTGTATATGGGAGATGAAGAAGTGAATTCCAATGGAATCAGAGACAAATACCATTATCACCCATGAGTCAATAAGGGCTGTGGGGAGGAAAGGAGAAGCTGAGCTGTCTGTCAGTACTGGGGTAGGAAAAGACACAGGTGGAGAAGGCAGAGATGGAGTGAGCTGTAGGGCCACTGACAAGAGTCATAACAATAATAATAATATGCCCACTTATGAACTCTACTCTGTGCTGGACAATAACTAGGAGCTTTATATTTCACTGTATTAGTCAGGATTCTTTATGTTTCAAGTGGTCAAAAATCAAACTCAAATAGGCATGTGCAAAAAAGGAAATTAATAGCTTGTGTGATTGAAAAGTTCAGTGAATTCAGCTTCAGGTATAGCTGGATCCAGGGACTCAAAAGATGTCATCAGGATTTTGTTGCTGTCTCTTGGCTGTAATTTTGCTCTAAGAATAAAATTGCCCATTGTGCCCTCAGATCCAATCACCTTTGTGGTGATACCACCAGTGATTTTTACCTGGTCACCTAAATTTTTTTTAAACTTATTTCCGATATCCTTTGCAGCAAAATGTGGCATGTGACTAAGTGTTGGACAATGAAATGTAAAGGGAATGAATATGGGCAAATGCTAGGTTTTGTCCTTAAAGACAAGGGATAGTTCTCCTCTTTCTCCTTTTCTGCCTCCTACTGTTTAGAGTGAATCATTTTTCGGGTACCACACCTCCTCAGGCATGTACCTCTGCGGGCTGTTTACCCCAAGTTAAACCAAGCCCAAGTGAATGGCTTTTATGGCCTGTTCTATAATTGCTTTCCACGTTATTAAAAGAACTGCATACTCCTTGTAAAATAAAATCCCAAGCATACAAATGTAAACAGTAATTTTTTTTTTAAAGGGTGCCGTGTGGCTAACGGGCACTTTTTTTTAAAGATTTTATTTATTTATTTATTTTTTAGAGAGGGGAGGGAGAGAGAGAGAGAGAGAGAGAAACATCAATGTGTGGTTGCTGGGGGTCATGGCCTGCAACCCAGGCATGTACCCTGGCTGGGACTCGAACCTGCGACACTTTGTTTTTGTTTTTGTTTTTGTTTTTAATTTTTTAAATACTTTATTTATTTATTTTTGGGGGAGGGAAGGAAGGGGGAGAGAGAGAGAGAGGGAGAGAGAGAGAAACATCAATGTGCGGTTGCTGGGGGTTATGGCCTGCAACCCAGGAATGTACCCTAGCTGGGAATCGAACCTGGGACACTTTGGTTCCCAGCCCGCGCTCAATCCACTGAGCTACGCCAGCCAGGGCTAAACCTGCGACACTTCGGTTCGCAGCCCGCGCTCAATCCACTGAGCTACGCCAGCCAGGGCTAAACAGTAATTTTTTTCAAAAAAAAATTTTCACAAAATCTCACACTCCAGAATATATGTAATTTTACAAATACAGGATCGATTACGATTATTATTTATTTCTACCCAGACTGGGTAGGGATGTTGATTAACACGATAATATCTGTAGCTTACATTTTTGAAATGTTTGCCATATGCCAAGCCAAATTTTACAGACGAGAAAGCTGAAGCTCAGATAAGGCAGGTCACCTGTCCAGGGTTACACAGCAAGAAAGTGTTTCTGACGCAGGAACCAGAGCTGTTCTCGTCCACGAGGGGCAGCGGGGCCTGAAAGGGCCTCTGCCCCCTCCCACGGGACCGGCAGGGCTGCGGCCTCCTGCTTATCTCAGCTCAGGCTGCCTGCTGGCCCCGCCCCCTCGGGGGAGCTGCCACTTGGAGACGCCTGGCCGGGAAGGGCCTGGTCAGCTGTGTCCGGCGGAGGCAGCTGCTGACCCAGCTGTGGACTGTGCCAGAGGTGAAGGAAGCGTGGGGCAGGAGCTCTGGGCCCCCCGTGGCGGGGGCTGCACCATGGATCACCTGGGGGCGCCCCTCTGGCCTGGAGTCTGCTCCCTCTGTCTCCTGCTCATGGGGGCCGCCTTGGCACCCCCTCCCAGTCCCCCGGGCCCCAACTTTGAAAGCAAAGGTAAGGAAGGATGGAGCTGTGTGGACCCCTACACGGGGTCCTAGAGAGTAATGTTGGTGCCTGAACTTGCAGCCTGGGTCCTAGGGACCAAGCTGGTGTGTGAACACCTAGCGCGGGTTCTGGTGGAGTATGTCGGGTCTAAGTCTTCAGACTGGTGGGGGGAACCCTGGAAAGAAACGTAACTTTCCTGTTTTACCTTTTCGGGGAGCCTGGGACATGCTACATCCTAATAGGACAGGGGTGGTACTAGGTCTGGACTCCGGGGTCTAGGGTCCCTGAGGGGAGAGGACCTAGCGGACCCTCTAGTAGGGGAAGGAGGAAACAGCTCGGGTTCGAGTCAGAGGGGCCAGGCGGCAGGAGACTGTAAACATGGTTTGCGTGTGGGCACCAGATCCCTCGTGCCGCTGGGTTGAAGGAGGGAGGCGGGGGGCACGGTTGGCGCTATCAGCGGCAGGGAGCCTGCTGGGGCCGATAGGGAGCCCCGCCTCTTCCACACACACCCACCGGCTCTCTAGTCCTGGGCTGGGGCGGGCCGGGCAGCGGGAAACAGAGTCCTTGAAGTCCACGCTCAGTTCAGCGGGTTGCAGGGTGGGCGGGTAGGTGTGGGGACCACAGTAAGGCAAGTAACCTGTTTGGGAGTGGGGGAAGCACCACCTCTGCGTACCCCTCGGGGCCCCGCTGGGGTACAGAGCTGGGTGGGGCTTTTGTCTTATCAGTCCGCACAGGCGGCGGGGAAAAAGGGGGAGGGCGCTGTGGTCCGAAAACAGGTCTCGGCTCCCCTACCCCTTCCTCTTACCCGCAACCCCCCAGCGGCCCTGCTGGCGGCCCACGGTCCCGAAGACCTTCTGTGTTTCACCGAGCGGTTGGAGGACTTGGTGTGTTTCTGGGAGGAAGCGGCCAGCCCCGGGGTCAGCCCCGACAACTACAGCTTCTCCTACCAGCTAGAGTGAGTCCAACGAAGCAGGCAGAGCGCCCCCACGTTTGCAGAGAGCCGGAGGGCGGGGGCGGGGCCGGGGCCAGTTGGCACCTCCCCTGCTGGTGGGAAGCCCGCAGAGTCAGGGCTGACACATCCCCTAGTGGCCCGAGTTGGAACACTCCGGTGATCACCGTTGATGTCCCAAACATCGGGGCTGGGACAACCAGTAAATCAGGTCTGAGTCGCCTAGGTGGGGCTGGGTCGCCCCCTCGTGGTAGCGGCCAAAATGAACTCATAGTCCGGTCAATACCTCCCAACAAGCTCCCTTCCCTACTCCATCCCTTCACACACAGGGGTGAGCTATGGAAGCCGTGCCGCCTGCACCAGGCCCTCACGGCCCGCGGAGTGGTGCGCTTCTGGTGCTCGCTGCCTACGGCCGACACGTCGAGCTTTGTACCCTTAGAGCTCCGCGTCACAGCGGCCTCATCGGGTGCTCCACGCTATCACCGTGTCATCCAGATCAACGAAGTGGGTAAGTTTGCCAGGAATGGGAGAGTGGTTGGGAGGGGGTCTCCGTCTCCGCCTACCTGGGCTACCCTTCTTGGTAGTACTCCTGGACCCACCGGCGGGGCTAGAAGCGCGGCGGGCCGATGAGGGCGGCCAAGTGATCCTGCGATGGCTCCCACCTCCTGGGGCCCCCATGACGAGCCTCATCCGCTACGAGGTGAACATCTCCTCAGGCAGCGCCTCAGGGAGCGCGCAGAGGGTGAGGCTCAACCCTACGTTTCAGCCCCAACACTGCCCCAAACTTAAAACCCTTCTAAGTCCCACCTAAATGGTCATCATGGCCCCGCCCCTCCAGGTCCAGCCCCTGACGCCCAACATCCCATTGCCCAGGCGCCCAAGACAGCTCCACGCCTACCAACAAGACCCCTGTCTCACTGTCTCCCCAACCCACCGAAATCCTAGTCCCAAACCCTAGACCGCCACCAGGGCCCGCTCCCTCCGTGCTCTGTTCCCCGCCCCCCCCCCCCCCGCGTCTATTGCCCCCCCCCCGCCCCCGTCCTGATTGGCCCCCAGCCTTTTGGGCCCGGCTTCTTAGTTTCATTGCCCCTTGGCTGCCGTCCTTCCTTTCTCTGATTGGCTTGCCCTGCATGCCTGTGTTTGTTCGCCCTGCCTCTGTTGTCCACACCTTTCGACCCCGTCTGGATCCCAGGTGGAGATCCTGGATGGTCGAACTGAGTGCGTGCTGAGCAATCTGCGGCGCGGAACCCGTTACACCTTCAAGGTACGCGCGCGTATGGCGGAGCCGAGCTTCGATGGCTTCTGGAGCTCTTGGTCGGAGCCTGCGTTGCTGCGGACAGCTAGTGGTGAGGCCCCAAGTAGGGATGTAGGAGGGACTGGGGCTGACTGTGGGGCAAGCCCACTGCCTTGACCTATTCCCGGCTCTCCAGACCTGGACCCGCTTATCCTGACGCTCTCCCTCATCCTCGTGCTCATCCTGCTCCTGCTGGCCGTGCTCGCTCTCCTCTCCCACCGCCGGTGAGCACCCCATTCTGGCACCTAGTCCAGACCCCTCCCCACCATCGTGTCCCCTTTCCCCGTGGACACCTAAGTTCAGAGAGAGGCCCAAGGTCACACAGAAGTCTGGCAGGGCTGCGATGCAAGGCAGACCAGACCCAAGCTCTAAACTAAAATATTCCTCTCTGGGGGATGGTCATCTGATTTTCCTTCTGCCTTAGTGGCTGCCCTTTTATAGATTCCTTTGCAAGCTTCTTTTCCCAATTGCATCAGCTTTTGTAAAGTCAACAACATAGGCTTAATGGAAAGATTTAAGCCCCTGAGTGTCTTCCCGTCCCTGTTATTAAGTTCCTCGGATGCTTTATGATATGACCAGCCATCCTGAGGTTTTTTGTAATTCTAAGCACATACCAGGTGGTTTTACAGCCCCAAGCCTTGGCACATGCTGTTCCTTCTGCCTGGAATGCTCTTCCTGCCTTGTCCACTTAGCACTCTCTTAGTTGTCTTTCAAGGCCTTGTTCATTTATTTGGTTGGAAAATACAAAATGAGCGTCAGCAATGTGTTAGGCACTGGGAGAAAGTGAAAAACAAGCCAAGCATGTCCCTGACTTTGAAGATCTCATGACTGAGTCAGTTAACAAACAAGGGAACTGACATATTTGATTTTAAATTGTGATGAGCGACATCACAGAAACAAATGGGATATGAGGAAATGATAGCACAGTTAGGGAAGACCACTGGAAGGGGAACATCAAAGTGGAAATCTGAAGGTTGGAAGGAACCAGTCATGTAAAAAGCAAGGGGAAAAAGCAAGTGCAAAGGCCCTGAGGTGGTAATGAGTTTGGAACATTGAAGCAGCTGCAGGAAGAGCTCAATGGCTAGAGCGGAGCATGCGAAGAGGGAGTAGTGGATGATGAGGTGAATGGAGTTATATGGGTGAAAATAAGCAGGGTTGTCTGCAGGGCTCTGGGGAGGCAGTTGGAATTTATTCTGAATGCACTGGGGAACCATGGGAAGGAGTGAGAGAGTGATATAAGGGACCTCCAGGTAAGCCTGGACCAGGTTAAAGGGGCATGAGACTTTGTTTATTGAACTATACATCCTTCAAAACTGTGTTTCAGTTATCCTGTAGGGCCCTACAGATTCAGCCAAAGCCCCTTCTTCCCATGCCCTATGCACTCCTCTGCCTTCACTACGGTCACCAGGCGCTAGGAATATCTGTTCCCCTGTGACTGAACACAGAGAGGACATAGCTGTGTTCAATGACACATGCCCATATACTTGTTTCTTTTGGTTTCACCAGGACTCTGAAGCAGAAGATCTGGCCTGGCATCCCAAGCCCTGAGAGCGAGTTTGAGGGCCTTTTTACCACTCACAAGGGTAACTTCCAGGTAGGTGTCCTGATTGTCTCCTCAGGGCCTACGGCTTCCCTGCTCCTGCAGCCAAACCCCAGGTCTCTGAACTGGCTGGTACTGTTTCCCCAGTTGTGGCTCTATCAGAATGATGGCTGCCTGTGGTGGAGCCCCTGCACCCCCTTCGCAGAGGACCCACCCACCCCCCTGGAAGTCCTCTCTGAGCGCCACTGGGGGGTGACACAAGCAGTGGAACCAGGAGCAGATGATGAAGGGCCCCTGCTGGACCTGGTGGGCAGTGAGCATGCCCAGGACACCTACCTGGTGCTGGACAAGTGGTTGCTGCCTCAGAGCCCATCGATCGAGGACCCCCCACAGCCTGGTAGTGGTTTGGACATAGTAGCCATGGATGAAGGCTCAGAAGCTTCCTCCTGCTCATCTATTTTGGCCCTGAAGCCAGAAGGGGCCTCAGCTGCCAGCTTTGAGTACACCATCCTGGACCCCAGCTCCCAGCTCTTATGCCCAAGGGCACCGCCTCCTGAGCTGCCCCCAACCCCACCCCACCTAAAGTACCTGTACCTCGTGGTGTCAGACTCTGGCATCTCAACTGACTACAGCTCAGGGGGCTCCCAAGGAGCCAAGGGGGACTCATCCAATGGCCCCTACTCCAACCCTTATGAGAACAGCCTCATCCCAGGCCCTGAACCTTCACCTCACAGCTATGTGGCCTGCTCCTAGGACTCTAGTCTCAGATGCTTGGGGACCCAGCATGACCTCAAGTGCTAGTCAAGGCCCAAGACTTATCTGGCAGGGTGAGCAAAGCCTCTCCCAGGACTAGGGGCATTTCTGACCTTGTCTGTGTGCCTAATCCATCCAACTTAGGAAGTCACAACCTTGCAGTATTTTTAATTTTTTGTATATATATTGCTGCTCCTCTATGTCTCAGCACATAAGGGGAGCAGTATAAAAGGCTGTGAGCTCAGTCTGAAATTCTGGACCTGGAAATCTGAATAATAATCATAATAAAATGAATTAACCACTATAAGTTATGCTAGCTGCCGTAACAAACTAGCTCTCAATCTGAGTGGCTGAACACAATTAGTAGTTTCTCTCTCTATCTCAATTCAAACAGGTGGGCAGCCATCCCTGGGATGAGTCAGAAGCCCAGATCTTCTGGTCTGTAGCTTCACCATTCTCCAAGTCTGCCCTGGGGTCTTCAGATGGATCCTCTGCATCCTGCCAGCCAACAAGTAAAGGGAGAGAGAAGACTGTGTGGGTTATTTTAGGGATCTAGCCTAGAAGTGGGTTCCATCTCTTCACAAATTCCACCAGCCAAAAATGGTCTCGACCCCACCTAGAATCATGGATGGCTGAGAAACGTAGTTTAGCTGTGCGCTCGGGGAGAGGAAAGCTGTTTAATAGGCCTCTAGCTCGTCTCTGCAACTAATAACAATTACAGTAACAATATTAACGTATAGGCCTTTATTCTATGTTAGACCACATTCTAAGAAAGCATTCTGATGACACCAAAGGTGCCAAGTGGCTCAATGAGAGTTCAAGTTTAACCACTTTTTAAGTTTTACCTAACTTACAAAAGCTGAAGAGATGCATACCTTCCGCTGCAGCAATTCCACTTCTAGGAACTCCCCCCATCCCACACACACACCAGGACATGTGTGCAAGAATGTTCATAGCAGTAAATATAAGTCAATTTGATGAATAAATTGAGGTTTGGTCACCCATGGAATTACATGCAGTAGGGGAAAAGAAATGAACTAAAAAATGTGGCCAAGCTTCTCACGAAGATGGCATCCAAAGTGAAGGAGGAGCCCCTGCCCCTCCCAAAGCTGAAGCCAAGGCAAAGGCTTTAAAGAAAAAGCAAGCAGTGCTAAAAGGCATCCACAGCCACCAAAAAAGAAGAGTTCTGCATGTCACCCACCTTCCAGAGGTTAAAACACTGTGGCCCGGAAGGCAGCCCCAATATCCTGGGAAGAGCGCCCCAGGGAGTAACAAGCTTGACCACTATGCTATGCCGCCTTCACTTTCCCCTGACTCCCCCTGGAGTCAGCCAGGAAGAAGATAGAAGACAATAGTACACTTGTGTTCATCGTGGATGTCAAGGCCAACAAGCACCCAATCAAACAGGCTGTGAAGAAGCTTTCTGACATTGATGAGGCCGAGGTTGACAGCCTGATGAGGCCTGATGGGGAGATGGAGGCCTGTGTTCAACTGGCTCCTGACTCTGCTTTGGATGCTGCCAACAAAACTGGGATCATTTAAACTGAGTCCAGCTGGCTAATTCTAAATATAAAAATTTTATACTAAAAAAAATGTGGTCACTTCTTAGTAACAATGCTGAGGGGGAGAAGAAAGAAGTCTCAAAGAATATATTTCTCATAAAACTTTATTTGTAAAGTTCAAAACAGCAACACTAAACAATATGCCGATAGGGTACAATATGTATATCATAATGCTATTTTTAAAAGAGAAAAAGCACTTCACATTTATTCTTTAGGTTTTAAAATCTGTACATGTCCCTGAGGTAAGTCTTCCAGCCACAGGAAACAGGCATTGAGAGGTAGTCACACACCAAAGCTCATGGCTGGCCTCCAGAGCTTGAACCTTTGTCTCAGCTGGGGTCACCAGCCTGGGTATGCCATGGGGTGATTGTCATTTTTCCATCTGGTTGGAAGGCCACACACCACTCTGCCTTGGGGACCAGCCCACATGGCTCCAGGCAGGCTCTGAAGCAACGCTCTCCTGAGCCTGAGGCAATTGGCTGCAGCCAGCACTGGGCAGGGAAATACCTCTGGAGAATGGAGAGCTGCAGGGCATCCCCACTGTTTCCTTCCTCCTGGGTCTGGAGGGCGACAATGAGCCCACAGCCTCTGCCAGGCCCAACCTGGTGGCTGAAGTGGGCAGCAGTGTCTAGAAGCAGGGCAGCCAGGTAAGCAGCTTCCTGAGGCTCCGGGTCTTCAGCTAGGTATTCCTCCAGGCCATCAAGCAGTAGAAGGAAGGGAGCTGGCCCACGGGCCTCGTGGGCAGAGCACAGGAGCTGAAGGAGCTCATGAGTTGAGGGTGGGTACTGGAAACGGATCTTCTAGAGGGAGGAGGAAAAAAAGCAAAGGGGCAGGTTCAGCACAGGAATCCAGGCTTCCCAGCTATAACAGCCTTGCTTTCTTGCATACTTTCCTGTAGGAGGCTCTCCCCAGACAGATAGCTCCAGAGTGAAGCAGCTCAGAGTGGTCGAATTATATTTTCTATTCGATTTCCCCGGTCCCCACCCCCGCATTTTACTATCTATCTTCCTGGTATTAGTTCAGAACAAGGTATGTCTTTGTTGTTGTTGTTTTGGTTTTTTAAGCGATAGGGGCAAGATTAGAGTGAAAAGAGATAGTACGCCCTCAGAGCAAGGTATGTCTTCTTGCCAAATTTCTAGGTCAGTCTTTCCACCCAAAACCCACCCTTAGCCTTCCCAGTCTGACGCCAGCACTGACTCCAGCTTCTCTAGAACAAATTCGCGTCCAGAAAACAACCACTGGGAGCTCCGGTGGCGCAATCGGTTAACCCGCGGTACTTACACAGGAAACAACCATAATTAGCCCCGTTCCTTACCGACCCCCCCCCCACCCCGCCCAACCCTTTGGGCACAGCCTTTCGTTAACTCCGCCCCTTCATCGGATATTCTCTCAATTTTAACAAACCCCCACCCGTCCCGTCCCTCGTTCATTCCTGACTCCGCCCTAGAGTGGCTGTTCCGGCTCACCCTTCCTTCACCCCGCCATTGGTCTTCCTATTTGTCACTCAATCCTCGACCCGCCCTTCCGCTGGCCGGTTGGACAAGAGTCCCTCCTATCTCCCTGTTACCTGTAACCGCAGGGGGTCGAGCGCTGCAGGCGTCCTTCCGGGAAGACTTTGCAGAGGTCTCCGGGTCAGAAAGAAGACGGGGCCTCGGCCCTCCCCTGCCGCCTCCAGGGCCGCCGCGAATAGCAGAGCTGTCTTCCCAGACCCTGGACCGCCAAGCAGCAGCAAAGGTGGTCCGGCCTCAGCTGAATTATCCTCCCCGGACTCGGCCGCCCTACTCGGGCTTAGCACCCGCCTCAGCGTCTCCGCCATCCGCTGCGTTCCTCTGTCCAATCGGAGGCTCGTTCCTGCCCTTAATCCCGCCCAAGGCTAGGCCTCTTTGGTTACAGTGCACTTAGCTTCTCCATTGGTCTATGGATCTGTTCATCAAAGTTAGATAAGGCTTTGCTGGCTTCTACAATGGTGAAGAGAGATTGATCTAGTGTGAGGGGAATGCAGCCGTTTGAGAGGGAAAAGGCCCTTCCCGTGATTTTGTCTGCTGAGAGAAGCAGCACGAATACTGTTACGGTGAGCTGATCAATGAATCAGATGAGTCTGAGAGTTGGAGGAAGCAGGCCCTCCTGAATCAGTGACACGCTTGAAATCTAGCTTCAGTTTGCTCAGCTGTAAAATGAAACTCAACGTTATTGCAGCGGGAGAACCGCCCCCCCCACACAAAAAACCCCGGAATTATCTTCTGGAAGGTGGTCCCCTTGTAGTACAGGCTTCCCTGTCTAGGCGAGTGTTCTAGGAACCCATCTGTATCAGTGTACCAGCTGTATCAGTGTACCAGCTGGCATTGTGAGAGGCTGTGTTTGGCTTCAGTGATTTTTTTTTTTTTGAAGACTTTCAATGCATTTGCCCATTTCATGATGGTAGTTTACAAGCACACCTGACGCACCACCCTGAGTGTTCAGCAGGTTTTGACCAAAAAACCGGCATGCCCCCGTGTGCCCCACCTTCCTATTCACCTGATCTCCCAGGAGTGACTTTTTGTTTCGCTGGGTGAAAAAAGCCCTCAAAGGGAAATGTTTTGCCCATGTGAAAGAGGTGGGAAAGAAAAAAAAAAGAAGCAGCACTAAAATCGAGGAGTTCAAACACTTTTCTGAGCAGTGGGAAAAAAATGTCTCCATAAGTGTGTTGCATCAAACGGAGAGTAAAGGTGATTGGAGTTTAAACATGTAAGAATAAATACACAATTTTTTGTAAATAAATCCAGGTTTGGGGGATTTCCCCCTCTTGTGCGTTTCTGCTGATGTCACCCAATGACTACTGAGAAGCAGAGAGGTGGGAGGGCTGTGTGCTTGTCTCTCTCTGGGTCTGAGCACCCACACAAGTGTCAGGGGCTGCAGCCTAAAGGATATCCATGTGCAAAGCATCAGAAGCTGTCTGTCTCTCACAGCTTGTGAGGGGTTTCAACGGGCTTCCTCATTGGCGTGGAGGCTCCTCGGGTCCTGCTAGGGGTAAGGGTGGTGGTGGTGGAGGTGGGGGGTGGGGGGAGACAGCACCACAGAACAAAGAACGGGCCAGGAGAAACAAAGAAACGGGCATGGAGACTGGGACCTTTTTTGCTTTGTTCACTCCGTAGCTCCATAGCCCAGAACAGTGCCTAACTCATTGTAGATTCTCAATATACAGGATGGGGAAATAGTAGGTTTACAGTTAGGAGTATGTGAAACAGTTTGTTCTTGTATTATCATTTATTAATGTATTTTCTATACACACAACTGCAAACCTACTTTTCCTCCACTGTGTATCTTCATTAAATAAATGAATGAAGAAAGGAAGATAGGTTTGATGAGAAACTGGGAGAGAAGGAGGAACAAGGTGTGTGATCAAGTGATCACAGGCTGAGGCTCCTCACTCTGACTTTGCCACAGAGCTGCCACTCATGGTCCTGTTGCCTTGGTAACTCTGTCTCCTGGTAACTTCAAACTAGCGCTGTTGCCAGGAGATCCACGGGCAGGGCGGAACTGAAATTTCCGGGGCTTTCTCTTTCCCTCTGAGACAAGAACACAGCTCCACAACAACCCCCAACACACCCACTCACACAGCCGGTTACTCCCACAACCCCCCCCCCACACGCACACACACTCACCATGGCACCTCTGCATATATTCCATTTCCAGAATTCCCATCACCCAATGCTCCTAGCCTTATCCTACCCTGACACGATGCATCCCGTACACACTCTCTCCTACCTTCACACCCCCCACACCCTCTCTTGAACACACACCAGAATACACTAATACAGCCATACCACTGCCACCACACACAGACACACTTCTTTTAAGCGATATTCCTGCAGCTCCTTTCACACACACACACACACACACACTTTTCCTTTTAGCTGATGTGCCTGCAGCTCTTCTTATACACACACAGAGATGAGGCACAGTGTTACATTGCCTTGTCAAGAGCACCACCTCAGCCCCCTCCAACAGAATAACAACCCATGATTCTCCTCCAGATGCACAAGCACCCAGTAGTGACAACTGTATCACAGTCACATACATGGAAGCATGATGAACACAGCCCCACCTCAGGTTTCTTGCGTTTACTGTTCCCCTAACTAGAGAACCCAGCTTCCAGAGAGCCCTGTGGTTCTTTCCCCCCCACCCCACTCCGTTCAGGTCCCTTACTCAGGCTTTCCCTGACTACCTGTGTGAGACTGAACATGCTTCACTCTTGAACTGCATTTCTCTTTGTTTATCTTCAAATAACTTATAATTTCCAATGTTGCTTACTTATGTTATTGCCTCTCTCCCTACTAGAATGTCAGTTCCACCAGGGTAGGGTCTTTCTTTTGTTTCCCAGCTCCTAAAAGAGCACCTGGCACTCAGTAGGTGCTCATAAATGCAGGCTGAGTGAGTCCATTGGCAGAGATGTAGACGTCTGGCATATCTCTCATGCATACAGTACTTCTTTCTCTCACTTCCTACAATCTTGTCTTCATGTTCTGATGGAAGAACACTTAACATAGAGACACTTCCTGGAGGAGGGAGGACTGATGAGTGAAAGGATGAGGAAGTGGATGGTTCAGGGATAGGCTGTGCTTCTCCCTCACTTAACACATTCAAGCTAATTTACTTAACAAATATTTATTGAGCACCTACTGTGTTCCTGGCTCTGTTTTGGGGACTGAGCAGTGAAAAGATGACAAAGTCTCTTTCTGAGCTGACATTGTTACAGAACAAACAAGGGGGGCCTGGGACAATATACTATTATTGAAAAAAAAGCCCCCAGGTCCGTCATGTCTGCCACCCGAGGAAAGACGTCTCTCAATGCCAGAGATTCGTGAAAAAGAAAGGAAATGTTTATTTAATGTTATACAAACTTAAAGTAGTTGAGGCAGGAGGTAGTCAGGAAGGAAGCTCCCGAGGCCCCGCAGGGCTGAGGTAGAAAACACCTATACATGACAAAGACCCCCTAAGACGGGTTGTTCCTGTTTTCTGGGACAACTCTGAATCATAGAATGCGCCTGCGCGCTACCCCTGATTCATTATAATATCATTATAATGAAATAACATTGTGGGACTCCCTTCTCCAGTAGCCAATCAAGAAAGTCATGGGAAACCACACATGCGCAGTAGCTTTGAAATCCAACTCCTTGTACCTGCGCAGGAAAAGCCCGCCAAAGACTAGCAGGGGGCTTCTGCCTCTATAAGAATAGAATCCCCCAGCCCACGTGCCCTTTTTTTCCTCTGCTCAGAGCTTGCTCACTCCCGTGTCCTGTGGTGTGTACTATCACTTAATAAACCTCCCCTCTTTCTTTATGCTATAAACTTTGTGTGTTCGGTTCAATTCTTTGTCCTCGATCACTAAGAACCTGGTTACCTGTGCACACCTGTGCACACCTGTGACATAGTGACCTAATGTCTTTATCAAAAAAAATCCTAAAGTCCCTTAAAAGACCCACAAACAGACACAGTCCTTCCTTCCTCCCACCTTTGCCCAGTCCAGAGTACCGTATCTCAGGAAAGGAAATAGAAGTCCATGGCTCAGGCAGTCCTCTGGTTCCTCCCAGTTAGTACTCCATCTCGACTGGGAGACCTCCCTGGGTTCCTGGCACCCTCAGCTGAGTCGCTGGGATCTCTGCTAAAACCAGGTGGTGGTTCCCCCTTCTAAAGCTGTGGGGGTCCCCACTCTGGCAAAGGCACGTGGTCCTCTCTCCCAGGGCCACGGGAGTCCCCACTCTGCCAGAGCCACGTGGTTCTCTCTCTCAGGGCTGCGGGAAGGGAGAGTCCCCACTCTGTCCAGGCTGTGTGGTTCTCTCTCTCAATGGCTGCCATGTCTGGGTTTAAATCCCCGCGCCAATCTTCTTCTGCAGCCCCATTTCCAACTCCTACACTTGGGCACACTTGCCCTCAATCTGCTGTCTTCTCCAGCTTTTCTGGTTGCCATCGTGGGTCTGGGCAGGTGTCATCCCATGTCATGGAGCCAATCTTCTCCCAGCTCCCATGCAGGCGCTGTAACTCAGGGGACCTGCCCCCCAGTCCCATCTTGGGGGGGGGAGGTCCCTTTCCATCCCCTTGGCCTTGAGCATGGCCATAGCTATTTAGCATATCTATGTGACCAGCCAAAGGCTATAGGTATGTTAAATGACCATGCCATGGATTAGCTGCAAAGCTGCCCTGCATGTTCTTGCTCTGTGTGCCCCTTCTCCCAACTCACACCTGTGGGGGAAGGGGTGAAGACACCTTAAAATCTCCTGGACACCTTGAGTTCTGGACCCCATTTCAAATGCCTATTTGGGATCCCCCTTCTTGGCTGCACCCTGTAACAATATCTCCTGTGAGGGAGAAGATAGTGACCACTAAGCATAATGAGGAATTTAAATAGCCTACAAACAGATGTTAAGTGCATGCCAAAAAATTTTTTGTACAGGGAAGGAGAGTTGGGAGGATCAATTTTTTGGTCTTTTTTAAAAACTAAATAGCGTGGTAAGGCAGGTCTCAGTGAGAAGCTGACAGTTGAGAAAAAGGCTTGAAGGAGGTGATGGAGTGAACCATGCAGGTATGTGGGGGAAGCCCTCTCCAGGTGGAGGCACCTGCACCTGCAAAGGCCCTGCAGCATCAGGAGAACTTTGGATTTTACACAGAGTGTCATGGCAATCCACAAGGTTTGAGTAAAGGAGGTCATGGTCTGATTTGCATTCTAAACCAGAGCTCTGTTTTGGTTGTGCTGAGTTTGAGATGCTGTGAGACCCACAGGGCACATCGAGAAAGCTTTTGAATAAGCCAAGTACATCTTGGTCTGGGCTCTCTACCAACAATTATCTATCTTGGGGTGGAGATGTGGGCAAGGCCCGGGCTGTTGCCTCCACCCTCTCTGGAGGGCCTAGACACTTCTTTGTGTCCCTCAGTCCCCATTTTGCCCTTTCTTGTTCCACGCTTAATATCAGGACCATGGACAGCACCAAATGCGTTGGCCGAAGTGCTGTCCACCGTGCTGAATTTTTGCTTCCTTCTTCGCCGCATGGAGGCAGCTGTGTGACAGGCGGGAGGGCGGGAGCATGGGTCTCAGGGGTGGGAGCCCTGGAAACAGGAGCTCTGGTCAGTGAAGCAGGGGGCTCCATAATCTGTCCCTTCTCCGCTTTCAGCCCTTTTGTACTCCCATCTCATGCCCTGTGGTCCACAATCAGGCCCCTCATCCCACCGTCATTCATTCCGCCCCAGCCACACAGGTCTCCAAGCTGTTCCCTGAACGTAGCAGGCGCACTCCCACCTCAGGGCCGTCAAGCTTCCTCTCCTGCCGCCTGGGATGCTCCTCCTGCTCTCCCTGGTATTTTAATAGCTTCTTCTCTCCTTTCCTTCACACCACATCTCCAGTATCCTCTCCTCAGAAAGAACTTTCCTGACCACCCACTTTAAATTGCAAACTGTCTCCATCCCACAGTTGTGCCAGAGTCTTCTTTAGCTCGAGTTGTCTCCTTATCACTTATCAATATCTAACATGTCAGAGATTCCAATCTCAGATCTAAATCTGTCCTAGGGTTTGGCAATCAGAATACTTCAGATTTTTGAAAGTTATTATGGTAAATGCTATCTGTTTCATAATACCCCTGGTAGGGGTCTGGGATATCTCAAAATCAAACACTTCATTTTCAATGAAACATAAGAATATTCACATCAAGTTAAATAAAAGCCATAATAACCATGTCAGTTCAGGTCAGGTAATTGCCACAGAGTTATGAAAAATATTTTAGGTTTTCAGACCTTTTTGAAATTCGGAACTGCGGTTCTGTATAAAGCTTATGTAGCTTGTTTGTCTGTCTCTTACATATTAGAACGTGAACTCCATGAAGGCATGAGGTTGTGTCTGTTCTGTTAACTGCTACAAGTCCCTGTGTCTGACTACACAGCACCTGGTACACGGTAGGTGTTCCTCAGTGTTTGCTGAAGGAATGAGAGAAGAAAAGCAGCCTCCCTTTCCCTGGTCCCTGGATGACTTCATGCCCTGAACAGCCTGAAGCCCCTCAAAGCCGTGGTGGGAGATGTGTCTGTGGCTCCTTGCCCCTCCTGCTCTCCCTGGTCTCTGCTGGGTCCTCAGCACAACCTCACACTGGAACCCCTGCTTTCATCTATGCATCTAGGGGTCTGACTTTGATGTTCCTACTGTCCTCTGCACCCCTCTTCACTATCAGGACCCTCAAAGTCCCCCCACCCTATTTGCTGTGCCCTCTGCACCCTGGCCATGGTCAGAAACAGGCCAGCTGCCTGGGGAAGACAGTCATGTGAGGCCCTCACTGTGGGTCTGCATTTCACATGAAGAAACATGGACACAGAGAGGTTAATTAACTTCCCTGAGGCCAAACTTTAAATCCAAGGACTCCTATTGGGTTGTTAAACCCAAGTTGCTGGCTCACAGCCTGACACTGCTTTTCTTCTACAATGGCCCTCAGAAACACTGTAACAATACACTCACACCTAGACCCACAGTTAAAGTCCTCCACACTCCAACACCCAGGGAAGGAAGGCATATGGCCAAACTTCTGTTACAAACAGGTCTTTATTAAAGGTGACGAGGAGGGGCAGGAAAGGGAGTTGGTGTCTCCTCTGCCCACTGCCTTTGGCTGCCCTCGGGGATGGGAAAGCCCTCTCTGCTCCACCCATGACCCCAAGATGGCACATTTACATGAGGCTGAGGCATGGGGGCAGTGTGAAGAACAGGGGTGGGTTCTGAGAAAAAAAAAGTCCTTTGCCACAGCCCTAATAAGTAGCAGAAGGGTTTGGGGTAACCTGGGCACAGGCAAAGGGAGACAGCACCCTGAACAAAACCTCTGAACTGGACACGCCCTGCATCAGTAGGGAGTTAAGAGGGACTGGGTGACAGGGTGCACATGGTGGAGGGACTGAGAGGGGAAGGGGTGCCCCAAGGATCCTGCCATGGGGGAGTCTGCCCCCCACCCTCTGGCTAAATTCTGATCCTGAGGAGAGAGTACCTGGTTACAAAGAATGACCCCAACTCCCTCCTCAACTTTGCACATACTTAGACATGGGCGGTCCCCCATTGGCTGGAATCATACCCACCCACCCTAGAAATTCTGAAAACCAAGGACTCCTATTGGTTGTTCATTTGCTGAACACTGGCTGGAGTTGCCCTCTTGCCTGAGGATACTAAGAAGTGAGGAGGAGGCTCCTATTGGCTGGAGTAAACTCCTGTTGGTTAGAATTCAAAGAACTGGAGGCTCCCATTGGCTGGGCAATGGCCAATGGGGTCAGGATTTGGCCCTTAAAAGAGCAATTATAGGTGGCAAGGGCCCACCTCCCACTTATGCCCACTTGGATGTCCCAGAAGGCAAGAGAGGCAGGGAGTCCCCCAAATGTCCTTCCAGCCATTCTCTGATATCTGGGCCTGGCTGGTTTGGAGACGGGGGCTTTGGCACTCACATGGTGCACGCACACACACGTGTGGCAGGGGATAAATGAGAACTGGGAAGATTCTGGGTGGATGGGTGGGCTTCACAGCAGGTGGTCACGGCTAGCAAACAGGTAAGGACTGAAGTTGTCCCGGTGGAAGGGGGAGGGATAGAGTCCACTAAGGGTATACAGGTCCCGTAGCAGGGGTGTGGGCAGCAGCAGTTTCCTGCCACGTCCACCACCCCCACCTGGCCCCCCAGGCCCAGGAGAGGAGGGTGAGGGGCCCTGGCTGGTGGGTGGTGCTGGCAGGGGTAGGGGCAGTGGCAGGGGCGTTGGCTCAGATCTCAACCGAGGGCGGGGCACACGGGGTGATGAACACATGGCTGGAGCCCTGGAGGACACGCAGCTTGGGATCAGGTGGCCACGGCGGGCGCAGTTCTGCGGCTCTGGGGATCAGAGATCAGGGAGTTAGAAAGCTTGGGAGGAGGTAAGACCTCAGGCAGTGACCACCACCTGGAAGTCCCCCCATTTACCCCACCCCCATTCCCTCAACACTCACTGGATGGGGTGAGCCGTGCCGGTGTCGAATGCGGCCTGCAGGCCTCGGGTTCCTGAGACAAAGAGGCAGAAGGATGGGGCTAGCAGTCCCCTGGGACCCACCAGCCACAACATAAGGGGGTCACTGGGCAGAGAGCCCAATGGAAAAGACAACCAGATTCTCAGGATTATCCATGCCCTCTTGGCAAGAAGAGATGGGGCACACCCTTCTGTTCTGTGGAACTGTCCCCCAGGTTTTATCTCCACTGAGATGAGTCATCCCCCAATGTCCTGAGACACCTCCCCTCCTTCTTGCCTGACTCCCTGCCTCCTTAGTCCCCCTCCATCCACCACCCTCTCCAGCCGGGAACAGTCCCCGGCCCCCCTTACCTGGGCTACACTTAACTTTTCGAGGGGGCTGTCCACAGTAGGGGCTTGGCTCAGGCCCTCCCAGGGGGAGAGCCTTCGGCTGGAGGGTGGCCGGCTCTGGAAGTTGTGCACTACGCAGGTGACCTGGGATAGAGGGAGAGAAGCAAGTTGACGCTCATAAGACAAGAGTGGTATAAATACCATCCCCGTTTTTCAGATAAGGAAACTGAGGCTCAGGTTTTCAAAGACAACTAACAGTTTTATGGTATTTACCTTGTCCTTTTCACTTAACTAAGTAGCTATTATTATTTATTCCACTTGGCTAGAACTAGGAGGATGCAAGTAAGGCCAAGTTGTGCCAGGGCAGGATCTGATCCTGCCTTTATTTAAATTTTTGATATTTTTGCATTAACTTGATTGTTAAAAAGTTTCATTAAAACATTACTTATCTGAATTAGGGAGTGTTTTAGCACCCCTTTAAATGCTGCACTCAAAACTAGTACCTCACTTGCACCATCACCCTGATCCAGATCACAAAGTCCACACCCTTCACAACCATGCAGCCCTCCCTCTGGGGCCAGGGAGACCTGGTGGAGGGTCTACCATGCCAGAATGGGTGCCAAGGGGGCTCACCAGAAAGGTGGCAATGGCCGCCCCAGTCAGGAAGCCGGCCAGCACGTCCGACCAGTGGTTGCGGTACTCCGCCACGCGGACCACACCCACCAGGAAGGCGGGGCACAGTAAAGCCAGGCAGAGCGAGGGTTTGACAAGACGGGAGCCCTTCACCTGGAACACCAGTGTCACATACATCTGTGGGAACCAGAGACCAGTCAGGGTACACAGGCAGTGCAGTTGTGGAATCTAAGTGTCCACCGCATTTGGGGGTAGGGGACATGACCAGAATCCCCAAGATCAGCGTTGTAGCTGGAGGATGTGGTCAGAGGCTCCAGGGAACAGAGCTAGAGGACAAGAGTTCAGGGGATGGAGTCAGGGACTCCCAGTGGGCCCTTATTGGGTTGGGGGTGTGGCCAGATCTCCAAAGAGCAGTGGAGTTCTCTGGGGCAGTGCCTCCCAGAAACCAGTCACAGTTGGGGAAAGGCCTTTGCTGGACTAGAGTGTGGCTGCAGAACCAGAGGGAGGAGTCGGGGCCCAAGGGGCAGGTCCAGGAGCTCCAGGAAGTGGAATCCCCAAACTCGAGGGCACCACTGCCTAGAATAGAAACTGACACCCAAATTCCAGAAAAAGGAGTCCAAGCAACATGGGGTGTTACCAGGAAAAAGCAAGGCTAAGTCAGGAAGTCCTAGCAGAGACAAGCCATGGGTGTGACCAAAACAATAAAGTCAGTCAAGTCCAGGATGGGAGGGCGGGGGGCGGGGCTTGAGAGCTCCAGGAAAGCCGATCCGCCCATTCTCCCAGCCAATATCCAGAACCTGTGGCATTCTAGGGACATGGCTAGTCTCCAGACACAGTGTCTTGACCCCACAGGGCAGAGCCAACAGCCTCCACTGGGTGTGGCATTACTGGGTCAGGAGGAAGGGCCAGATACCAAAAGACGCAGTCTAGGACAGCGGTAGACTCAGACTGGAGGGAAAGGGGAAGAATGACCAGGGTCTAAGGGGAGAAGTCAGAGTTCCCTCTGGACAGACTCCGCCTTATGGGAGGAGCAACAGCACCAGGGGTGTAGACTCATCCAGGAGGAATCGGAGGCTCCAGCCCAAGTGGCTTCCTGCCTGCAGGCTGCCCCGCGAGGTCCCCAGCCTCCACTGCAATGGCTCCCATTTTGGGGCTCACCGCTGTGTAGGTAACCGCGTAGGCGCAAAGGGCAGCGTCCTTGCAGGGGAAGGCGCGGCGCGCAGCGGCCACCAGGCTGGGGCTGCCAGCACAGGCACCCTGGTCGGTCACAAAGCGGTCAGGCCCTGGCCGGTCCGGTGAGGGCGGCAGGCAGCCCAGAGCTGTGTAATTGGGGCGGCACACGGACAGGAAGTGTGGTGTGGGGTTGCCAGTCACCACCTGCCCCGCGTTGGCGAAGATGGTCGTGGTGAAGAGGCCGAAAGAGTAGACCCCTGAGGATGGAGTGGAAAAGGGGGTTCATTTTGGGGATGCCACAATGACCCTCCTCTTGTGAGCCCCCTTATGACTCATTTGGGCCCCTGTCTCCTTGTTCCCTTGACCACCATTAAAGCACCTGGGACTTTCCTTAATGCTGTACCCCACTATAGCTGGGCTACCAAGATAGTACTGTGGGCCTCTTGCTTCTGCCCCTCTGAGGTTACCTCTATGTCAGAAGTGGGCCCTCGCCTGCAACCCCGTTGTACCTGGGCTGGGACCCCTCAACAGCATTACATCAGTAGTGGACCCATGCCTGGGACCTCCTAAGACCACCCTGATGGCATTTCTGGTCCTCTTTATACCTGCCCTGGACTCGCTATTACAGAGTTACTCACGTTTCCTCTGGATCACCAATAAGCCAGAGCTAGACCTCTGGCCCACCATTATGGGTGAGCTGTGCCCCCTCCCCTACCCCATGGCGACCCCCTGTGTCTGGGAGTACATTTAAAGTGCAGCTGAGGTCTCATTTCCCATGGTGTTTGGCCTACACCTGTGTCCCCCTTTTCCAACTGAGATTCTTCTTGTGGCAATTTGGGGCCCTCATCTTACAGATGCCATTGTTACTTAGGCCCCATCCATGTCCCTAAAACCTTCATCACGCGTGGCCTGAGTCCAAGTCCCTTTTTGCCCCTGAAGGCACCATCATGACAATTCTAGGCCCTTTTCCCTCTGGAATCCTGACTGTGGCTGAGCCTGGACCATATCCCTTTGCATGGCTGAACCCTAGCCCTGTCACTCACCCAGGAAGCGGACCAGCCTTCTCAGCGGGGGGCTGAAGCGGCAGCAGGCCCCAGACACAATGGTGCTCTCCCCAATGATGGGGATGGCTGAGGGTGGTGCGGGGAAAAAGGCACGTGCCAGCTCCCCCAGCAAGATCTGTGGGCGAGACCAAAACACAGTCTTCCTGGCCTTCAAGCCCAGCCTCCTGCCCACCTCCCCCCGATCTTTCTGCCTCCTAGGAGGTTCTCCCACAGTCCACCAAGGCTACCCCCAATCTCACCGTGAGGGTGGGCCCAGCGGTGACCAGAGCATAGATAAGTGCAGGAGGTGCTCGGCTGGCAGCCTCAGGCCCCGGATAGGGCTTGGCGTAAGTACTGTCATAGCAGAAGAAGCCCTGGGTGTGCACAGGAAAGGTGTCTGTGAACTCCAGGCGGTAAGCGAGCAGGACCACCACACCCAGCAGCACCGACTGCCGCCCAGCCAGGGTGGAGAGAAAGACGGAGAGAGACAGAGAAAGGAGAGAAGGTCAGGCCTGAGCTGGAGACATGGAGACACACACACACACACACACACACACACACACACACACGGATATGGAGAGAGACAGAGTGGAGGGGAGTGATCAAGACTGAGGGAGATAAATGGAGTAAAAGTGACAGAGAGGTGGGGAATGGGGCCAGAGAAGTGTCAAGGCCTGGGAGACACAGCAAGAGATGGAAATGGAGATAGAATCGAGATGAGAGGAGAGGAGGGAAGAAGAAAGAGAAGGAGAAGGGACTTGAACAGTAGAATAGAAAGACAAGGAGAGAGGAAATGAGGCTGGGGCAAGAGAGTGATGACATGCCTGAGATCTGACCAGAGAGATCCAGAGAAATGGGTCTGGATGGAGTGACAGCGCCAGGGAAAAAGAATCAATACTACTAGTAGGATGAGCAGCTACTACAGGTATAACCCTTACTGTGGGCATGGTGTCATGCTAAACCTCTTCTGTGAATGAATACATATTACCTTCTAAGTATGCCTGTTTGACAAAAGCAGAAATTGAGGCTCAGGAGAATATGTGACATGCCCAGAGTCCCAAAGTAAGGTTGGGAACAGCGGGACTGGAACCCTGAGTGCCACTTCTGAGCCCAAGCTTATACTCACATCCCAGGAGAAAGGGAACTGTGCTCTCATCCCACAGAGACAGGGAGTGAGAGATCAGGGAGAGAGAGGACAGGACTGGAGTCAGGACGATGGAAAAATGGGTTTAGGTAGGGACCTGGCAAGGATGAGGGAGGCTGTGGTTGGGCAGGGGGGGACAGGAAGACAGGCACACCCTCTCCCCACTGAGGGTCTGAACAAGGTACTGGGCTCCTCACCTCTACGAAGACAAAGCAGGGAATGATGGAGAAACTCCTCTTCAGCTGAGGTCTCCCTCCCGCCATGGTGAAGGCCCAGCCTGTGGAGGTGGGGAGGGAGTGGAGTGGCCAGGGTGGGGCCCAGGGGGAGCAGGAGTAACTGGACCCTGTAGAGTCCTCTGGCCATGCCTCTGCATACCCAGGTCTTAAATCCTGCCCCTGCCCATGGGAGACACTAGCCTCCCCTGACACGACCTGCTCAGCCCAGGCTATTGCAGGGCAGGGTGGGGACCCCAGAAAGAGATCCTCTAGTGGTCTTCACCCCCTACAACCTACATAGGAGATTCTGACCCCACACCTTTTAGGAGGGACTCTCCTCCCTACCAAGCAGGACCCCTCCCCTTGGCCTGTAGAAGAGAATTCTCCAGTTTAATGGGGACAGCTCCCTATGGAGGAGAATCCATTTAGAAGGGTCCTCATCCCTCACCAGTTTTTAGGGGACCCCATCCTCTTTCCCCACATGCTTTACAGAAAACCCCATGCTCCATGTCCCCACCCCTGTCAGGCCCCTCCCCTGAGCCACTCCCTCCATGGCCCACAAGGGCCTTTCTCCTGTCCCTATGGTTTGTGGCTGATGGCCAGGCCCTCCTCTCTCAGCTGCCTCTCCCTCTCTACCTTCTTTCAGCCCATATGCCTCCCTGTGTCATTAGGGACTATCTGCTCACCATGTACGCCCCCCTACCCCCAGCACTGAAGGGCTAACGGAGTCACAAGTGCATTACCCATTCTCCCAGCCTGGCCTCACCTGTGAAAGAGCGCTATGGCTTCCCACAGGTAGCCACCACGCCCATGGACTCAGAGCCGCTCCTGGAAGCCAGCAGGGTAGTGACGGTCACCCCCATTGCACAGATGTGGAAACTGAGGCGCAGGCAGGTGAGGGCAGGCACTCTGGGTCCAGTGCTCCATCCACAAGGCTTGCTCTTCAGTGTGACATGTGGGGTGAGGGTCGCTAGAGGTCCCAGATGTCTACCTGGCCACAGCCCCCTCACTCTCCCAAAGACACAGTCACTCGCACTGGCACCCCCAGAACACACAACTCAGCTACAGCTTCCATCCCAATCCCGCCACCCTCGACCATGGCCCAGCATTCATCCGTCTCACCAACATGGACCAAGTAAGTGCCTGCTGCATTCCAGGCATTGTGCTGGGTGCCAGCCTTGAGGTGAACAAGGCGGGCCCCCTCTTTCAGACAGGTGCCCAACACCCACCACACACTTAACTGCATACTCATACACACACGGCACAGTATGCACACAGCCTGTCACAGACACCCACACAGATCAAACAATTCCCCAAACCCCCACCTAACACATAGCCACAGGGACACAACAGGAAGTCCTCTACATACCTCACAGCTCCGCACACAGCCCCACACGAGCCCGCACCCCTCAGGGATGTGGACTCAGGGCTGCTAACACACTTAAGAGTAACATCAAAAAGAGAGTCACCTCACACAAGGTGGGGGTCACAGGACCAGTCATAGTGTCACACCCCCAATTACAAGGCATTCAGTGACAACTACACATATTAACAGTTCGCATCCACACTGACAGCCATAAGAGAGCCACACAGAGACACAGTGCTATCCACTATCACAATCACATGGCCACACAGGGGCACATACATGGACCATGACGGATTCACACACAGCTACACAAGAAAGACGCATGATCACAGCCACACACTAGAATGCAAAAATGGCTCTCCCCCACACAGGCAGAAGGAACACACAAGAACAGCCACACGATGACAGTCATACACACAACCACAGATACCAAGACAGTCACACAATCACAATGATAGCCATTACAACGGCACCACAGCCACACACATATAACATCAGTGATACCCACGATGACAGCCACACAATGATGGCCACAGGAGACAAGCACACACACGCACCACATAGACACTCCAGAAGCCACACAATCACAGCTATACAGGCACACAATGACAGTTACACAACCACACACTGACACATAATGACAACAGTACAGTCCTGGTCACACTCACCACCACCGCTTGGCTTGTCAAGCCCAGGGTCCCCTCCCCATGCTCCTCTCCCCCAGCCCAGTCCCCAAGCTCCAGCTCCCCTCCCCCTCTCCACGCGGACCCGCAGGGGACCTGACCAACTGGATCCGAACCCGGCCGGACAAACCAAGGGTGGAAGCTCTTGAGAGAGAGTACAGGGGGCGCTTCAAGCCCCTCCCCCTCACCGGGTCAAGGGTGCTGCTGCCTGAGCTCGGGTTCCGCCTAGACGTCACCAGCACGGCCCAACGGACAGACGGACGACGGCTAGCCCAGCAGGCAGGCAGAGATACAAATGAAGATGCACTCGGTCTGATCCTACTCCTCGCTGCGCAGACTCCGTGGAGGAACGAGGGGCGGGGCCTTTGGGAAGTCTTATTTGAATAATGACGTGGGCGGGGCCTCGCAATGGTTATTATCATGATACGAGGAGGGGCCTCCGAGGTTCTTTGGGGCGGGGCGTGTAAGAACAGATGGGGGAAATGAAGGCTGGAGGTTGAGAAGGTGGACTCCGGGTGAGGGGAGGTGCTGAGGGTGAAGAGGGCGGAGTATCAGAGTGTGACCCTGGGTCACCACGCTCCCTCTCTGGGCCTCAGTTTTCCCATTTAGGCAGTAGGGGCAGCAGTGTGAAACAGCCTGTCTGGCCACTCATATCTGGACAGACCAACCTCTGACCTGTCATATACTAATCTGGCTTCACACAGTCCCCTGACCCTAGGCCCACACATCCCAAACAAGCTGGGGTCTCCTGTCTCTCCCCAATACTGGGGAGTAAATGGGGGTGGGTCACTCTCAGGCACAAGAAGCAGCAGGTGCAACAGTCCACAGGTGGAGGAGGGTCTTGGCTAGTTTATTTTCTCTCTGATGGGGTCTCCGGGGAGAGCAGCCCCTGCTGCTCAGGCTGTGGGAAAGAAAATGGGTAAGGGCCAGGTCTGGTCAAGGGGACCCCAGAGCTGGTGGGAGGAGCCCAGGGTTGGGAGCTGGGAGGGTCCCTACTGTGGGATTCCAGGGCTGGCCTGGAAGGGCAGGGGCGGGTGGAGCAGGGGAGGATACAAACCTGGTGGGAAGGAGTGGCTTTTGCTGAACGGGGGCTGGGAAGGGTCCTGGTCTGAGTCTGAGTCCGAATCCCAGGAGGGGTGTGGAGGGCTCAGGCATCGGTGTTCCTTGTAGCCTGCAGGAGGAACAGGTGCTATTCTGACTCTCCATGCATCAATCCCGAATGTGACCCCTGAAAAACCTCTGCATATGGGTCAGTGTCCCTTGATCATGTCCTTTGAATGTAACTCAACGTGACACCAAAGTATGACCTTGATGACCCTTGAATTTTACCCCAATGATCCTTAAAAAAGACCCTGGGTGACCCTTGGGTGAAATCTCCAGAGACTTTTTAATGTGACCCCAAATTAAAACCCAACAGATTTGACCTCCAAATATGGAGAGGGGAGAGAGGTTTAAGGGGATTAAATGGTAATGGAAAAAATACAATAAAGATTAAATTTAAAAAATAAAAACAAAGGAAAATATGGCCCTGGCTGGTATGGCTCAGTGGATTGAGCACCAGCCTGTGAACCAAAGGGTCACTGGTTTGATTCCCAGTCAGGGCACATGCCTGGGTTGAGGGTGAGGTCCCCAGTGGGGAGCGTGGGAGAAGCAACCACACACTGACGTTTCTCTCCCTCTTTCTCCCTCCCTTCCCTTCTCTCTACAAATAAATAAAATCTTAAAAAAACACACACAAATATGGCCTTTGAACATGACCTCCATGTGTAAATTGAAGAATGACTCCCCCCAACCCTGAAGCACAGCTCAGCCCCCCTCACCCCTGAGGCTTGCAGCCCTGGGGCGGACCCCCGAGGAAATGGTGAGGCCATCAAAAGAGTTCTGCAGCATGTGCACAGCAGACCTGCAGGAAGATGGGAGCTGGGAAGACCAGGTGACTCTGGACTGCTTGATGCTGGGGCAAGGGTGCTGTTGCGGGTGGCAGTGGCAGAAGGGAGTCCTGGTTGGGGATGGATGTCTAGACTCAGATGATTTCCAGGTTTGGTGGTCACTGCTTGATCAGATTGGTAGCAGGGCAGGCAGGGCAGATAAGGGTCAGGGGTCAGAGGTCAGAGTGGGAGCTGGGCATCACCATATGTCACTCAGCTCCTTCTGGAGGTCACCCCTCCAAGAGCCATTGCCTCCTGATGTCATCTCCTCTGTCTCCAGCCAGTTGGATGTCTCATACCCCTGCTGTTTCATCTTGGTCAAGACCTAGGGCCCAGAGAGGGGTGGGGGTGATGAGAGAAGAGCAGCAGTAATAGTAACAATGGTGTAAGGTGATCATTACATGGCACTTATTATGTGTCAGGCTGCCTTCAAAGGGCCTAAGGGTTGGGTTCATGCAGCTGCTTCTTCAGGTAGGGATGTGCTGTTATACCCACTACACACATGAGGAAACCAAGGCCCCAGAGAGGTGAAGAAACTTGCCCACAGTCACATAGCAGTAAGTAGCAGAGCTGAGATTTGAGCCCAGGCTTTCTGGTCGAGTCCAATGATGAAGGCCAGCAGAGATCCCCATACCCCAACTCCTGTGGGGTCCTTTGTCCTCCCCTCTCACCTTACGGCACTTCACCTGGGTCTTCTGCATCTTCTGGATGTTCACCAAGTTCTCAGTGATCTCCTCCTCCTGTGCCTCTGTGAGGGGAAGGAGCTCAGGGGGGCCAGACAGCCGAAGGACAACCCCCCATCCCCCACCCCCAGCTGTGGGCTGCAGGCACTCACGGAGCTTCTGATAGATGAAGGTCACCTCCTCCCGAACCAGCTCCAGCTCCTCCCACAGGAATTTCTTGCTGAGGGGGTAGTGCAGCCTAGACCTACAGCCCTTGCCCAGCCCCCAGCCTCCCAATTTGTCTACCTGCCTCCTCCATCTTCCATGTTCCCATTTGTTCAACCACCCATCCCCACAGGCTCCGCCCCCCCACCTGCCCACTCACCTTTCCTCTCCAACTTCTATTCCCCCACCTCCCTCCCCAGCCCCCAGTCCTCTCCTCCTAACCTCTAGCCTCCAATTCCCTCAGCCTCCCATTGCCTCCATCTCCCCACCTTCTGCCCTCCTGTCCTCCCATATCCCCAGACTCTGCCCCCTTCAACCTCTCCATCTCTCAGCTTCTTGCTCCCCTGGGCTCCCTCTCATCCCACCTCCAGCTTCCTCTCCTCCCTGCCTTCTGGCCTCCCCATCTCCCCCACCCCCCAACACACTGCCTCCTGTCTTGCCCCATCACCCCTTCCTCTTGTGCCTCAAGCCATCCATCCCTCTTACTCAGGCCTCTCCCCTTTCCCTCATTCTGGCCAGCCTGCTTTCCCTCCCACAACGTTCAGGCTCCCTCTGGCAACACCCACCTGTCTCGGATCTCCTGGGCCAGCAGCTGCAGGCAGCGGGTAGTACGGGCCCGCTGCACCTCCTCACTGTCCCGCAGGGTCTTCTGCAGCCCCTCCAGGCCTTCTGCCAGGGCCCCATACAGCTCTTGCTGTCCCTGCTCCGTGTTCCACTTGTTTCCATCCTTCTCTTTCTGCCGACTTGTGGGGCACAGGACTTCTACAGAGAGAGTGGGAACTTGACTAAGGCCAAAACAAACCAAGCTCAGCTTTGAACACACCTTGCCTTAGCCTGGCGGGATCCTGACCCTGAACTCAGACTCACCCACTTCTCTCACTCTGACTCAGCTGACCCTGACAGCCTCTAGCCTGACCTCGACCCTAGGCCAATCCTCACCTTCAAGTTGTTGGATCTTGATTTGCTGCAGGCAGCTCTCCTTCTCCAACATGGTCACTGAGTGATTTAGGAACTCGAAAGCCTGTTGGGGAAGAGGTCCTGCCTGGAGGAGGAAGGGAGACAGAAGACAGGGAGAGATTGCTGGGGGCAGGGCTGGCTCAGGAAGCTAACCTTGGTCTGGGCCTGTAGCTGGTTCTTGAGTGCCTCCAGTTCGCATCTCAGGAGCTTCTGCGTGTCAGGAATCATGGTGGACTTAACTGTGAGCAGAGTTATTGGTCAGCCAGGCTGGGAAGGGTGGGGTCAGGGGCAAGGTCAGGGTAGTGGTTAGAGGCTCAGGGTAGGGGTAAAGTCAGGGGACAAGGTCAGGAGCAGGCATTGACCAAGGCTGTGGTAAAGGCAACAGTAAGGGTCAAGGTCAGAGACAGGGATGGAAGGTAAGGTCAGGGGCAAGAGTCAACTGATGCTGAGGCAGGACTGAGTTGGTGGCAATGGCAGGATTCCACAAAGGATGGGGCAGAGGGTAAAAGTCAGAACCAGCAGGTCTCCCACACACAGTCTTGTTGGGAGGAAGGGTTCTCACCTTTGACTTTGGCAGAGTTGGTCTCCAACGGCTTCTAGGGTAGGGGAATATGAGGATAGTGGAAATTCATCCCAGGACTGCCTCCTTGCTCACCCTAACCCAGTGTGGGGGGTTTGGAAATGAGTTGGGTCCCACACCCTGAGTGCAGGCAAAGCTGCCTTGAGGCACATGTGTGCATTCCTCTCTGGCCTATACATGCTCAGAAGTGCATTTATGTGGCTTGTATCCTGCATGTGTGTGCCTCTGGGCTGCCCCTGACAGCACACACATGCAAAGCCCTGTCTCTGGCCTGGGATCAGGAAATGGCCCTCCTCCTTAGGGGCAAATGACATTGACAATGTCTGCAGGCAGCACCGATAGCAGTCACACATAATCGTGCCTAATTCCACGACAACCACAGCCACACAGTCACAACCCTGGGCACACCCATGCACTCTAAGTCATAAGACCCAGGGCACTCACTCACACTTGTCTCCGGTATATAACCAGACACAAACACACAGGCAGTTATACCCAGAGACAATACAGACCAGAGACAATACAGACCAGACTCCAGTAAGACACACAATCCCACATCCATTTCATTCATTCCCTCATCCATTAAGACACTTTCATTGCAGGCCTGCTGAGTGCTGGGAGGTGTTCTGGGTGCTGAAGACACATGGTGGGAGGGTTCTTGAGGAGGACCACCCTGCCTCCAAACCCCCTCCCTAGGCCCCACAGCAATAGATTGCAGTGCAGCAGGAAGGGGTTTCCCAGGTGGAGGTGACCTTAGTGATGCTCTGACGCTTCTTCACCAGTTCCTGGTCATTACAGTGCTCCTGCGAGGAGTCTGAGTTGGGCAAGGGGGGATACCCACTCGACCGAGGCCCTGAGTCCCTCCCTCGCTTCCAGTCTATACTCGTCACTGTGTTCTCTGAAGCAGCTGGCCCCAAGGTCTCTAGTTCTGGGGTTCTGGACCAGTGAGTTGTACAGTCCAAGGTCTTGTCCAGGGAAGAACCTGTGGGTGAGTGAGCACTCCCTGAGGGCTAGCCCAGAGCACTCCAGCCCCTCCCAGCTCCCCAGCCCTGGAGCAGCCCCTCAACGAACCCCAATAGCTGTCACACTTCCCGTTAGCAAGCAAATACAAGTTGGAGGACGAGGGAGATGAGCAGTAGCAGAGCACAGAGTAGTCAGGGTCCCGGGGTATGCCGGCCAGAAGAGGGTCGCTTTGAGTAGGGAGGACAGGGGGCTGCACTGAGACAAGCCCCAATGTCCCGACACTCCCAGACCCCCCCTGACACCCCAGAGAGGCCTCCTTAATACAGCGCCTCTAGCCACGGTAGAAGCAGGATGAAAGATGGTCCCAGCCCCAGGGGCTGGGCTCGGCAGTGAGAAAGACCCAGAAGACCCCACAGGAGAAAGTAAGGCCTCAGAAGCGTTTAAAAGAAAAAAGATCTTGCCCTAGCTATTGTGACTCAGTGGACTGAGTGCTGGCCTGCAAACCAAAAGGTCACTGGTTCGATTCCCAGTGAGGGCACATGCCAGGGTTGCAGGCCAGGTCCCCACTGGGGACATGCAAGAGGCAACTGATCAATGTATCTCAGACGTCCATGATTCTCTTCTTTTCTTTCTCCCTCCATTCCCCTCTCTCTAAAGTAAATAAATAAAATCTTTAAAAAAGAAGAAAAGATCTTAACATTGGGCCCAACAGGAAGAGCTTTCCCAGTAGGAAACAGCATGTGCAAAAGCTTGGAGGTGTGGAACCATGTGCTCTATGATCATAAATTCAGGTTGGAGACAGAGTCCCAGAGGGAGGCTTAAGCAAGGCATTGAAAGTCAAGTAGGGGAGTTAAGGCCTGGCTCCCCAGGTAAATGGGAGCCATAGTGTATCAACAGGAGAGGCAGGGCGTATCTAGTCAATAAAGTAGCTAAATCCGGGCCCATAGTAGGTGAGGCTGGAAACAGGAAAGAAGTCAGCTCTGTGTTTCATATCCACAGCCCCCTACCTGCACTTTCAGTGTAGTCAGGGCTGGCACAGAGTCACCTGGGGCAGGGCTCTCTGGAAAAACTTCCAGTGAAGGGCATCCTGCCCTGGGTCACACTCAGCCAGAAAGACCATGCTCTAGGCATTTCTGTTCTACCCTTGCTGACCCCTGGTGTCCTTCCTCTGCCCAGTCCTCCTAGAAGATTCCTACATACCTTTCAAAACTCCCACTCAGCATTTCCTCTGTAAAAGTTTCCTTAACCCTTTTTTAAGCTTATATTTTCTGAGCACCTCACTGAATGCTGGGCACCACCCTCAGCACTCATTGGTTCTTCATACCTATCCTGTGACAAAGGAGTTATTATTGTTCTGCCTTAAATGCTCTAGACTACTTTTTCAAGAGGCACTGGAGACCCTCCAGGTGGAGGGCTTGGGTTCAAGTCCTAGCTCTGCCCCTTCCCAGCTGTGTGATGTGGGAGGAGTTACTGAACCTTTCCCTGCCTCAGTGTTCCTCCCTATGAAAACGGGATGTCAAACTACCACATTATTGAGTTGCTGTGATTAAGTAAATTAATCCATACCAGTGTGTAACATACACAGGTGGGAAACTCAGTATACGTTCTTGAACGTCACGCTGAGAATTTGGGACCTGGGGACTATAGGAGCCCTGAGATGATTGGAGGGGTAAAGGGAAGACACTTTCTGAGTGCCTAGTGCCGGCAGATGCCCTGTCGAGCACCCCTCCCTCTCCCCCTCCCACATCAGTTGTTCCTCGCGAAGCCCCTCCTGGGAGAATTCTTGGGAGTGGGGGCGGGGCCATTAGTCAGGGCCCCGCCTCCCGGGGCTGTGAATCCCGCACCCGTCCGGCTCCCGACTCCTTTCCATCCCCACCTACCACATACCACCTGCTCAAGCTCTCCCATCAGGGACCACGAAGCCTGTCCCCAGCTGTGACGCTGAAATTTGATCCTGTGGGACACCATCCCTTTAAACCACGCTGAGCCCGCAGGTAGTCATAGAGAGGGGTGGGGCTGGCTTTTAGCTCCGCCCCCGCCGGTGCAGCCGAAGGCATCATTGGCGCCTTTCCTCTTCCGCAGATCTTAGGAGCCGCCGTGTAATTGGGTAAAATTCTGGTGAAGGGGCAGGATTTTAGTCTGGTTTCTGCTAAACGATTAGTCAGTATCCAATAGGGCGGTACAGGAGGCGGCAGATTACGATTGGATTGGCCTCGGGTATAGTTGGGAGGCGGGACGAGCTCTTGGTCCCATGAGGAGAAGTGGTGGAGGAGGCCCGCAGGGGTAAAGTAACCAGCCCTGCCCGCCTGGCCCCAGAGATCCAGCTCCGGGGTCTCTGGTCTCGGACTTCTGAGTGCTGCGGTTTGAGGTCCTGATTTCTACCGGTGGGGTTGATGTCTTCGAGATAAGATTTGGGGGTTTCTCGGGATTAAATGGAGTCTCGAGGAGTACTTTGGGGATCTTCATAGCGATATCTGAGATCTTGCTATGGGAGCTGGAGTCTTTGCTGTTAGAAATGGGACCCCAAAGTGATATTTGGGAGTCACTGAGGTGATATCTGAAGATCTAGGGCTACGAGCTTGAGGTCCTGGGGCCGAAATTTGGGGATGTCAGAGGTGGCATGGATGTTGGGGTCCAGAGAGCCTGAGATCTTGAGGGCTGACACTTAGCCAGAGATGGGGTCGGGGGTTGTCCCTGGACTGCTGAGTCTTCCCCACCCCCATTCTTGGTCTGCTGACCCTGAATATCTGCTGGGTTGGCCTTGCGCAAGCCCACAGGGTCTGAAGGCTATGTACCAACGGTAAAGCACTGAGCTACCCTGTGCCTCCTTCCCAGGCGTGCAAGATGGAGGAAGGCGGGAACCCAGGAAGCCTGACTAAGGTGATCCATCTACTGGTCTTGTCTGGGGCCTGGGGTATGCAGATGTGGGTGACCTTCGTCTCAGGTAGGCACCCTCCGTCTGGACATCATGGATACCCAGGGTGGGGACAGGAAGGAGAGGGAAATCTGGAGAATCCTAGCAGGCTAACAGGTGTGTGTCCCCTACACCCCACAGGCTTCCTGCTTTTCCGAGGCCTTCCCCGACATACCTTCGGTCTCGTGCAGAGCAAACTCTTCCCTTTCTATTTTCACATCTCCGTGGGCTGTGCCTTCGTCAACTTCTGCATCTTGGTTCCACAACACACTTGGGCTCAGCTCACATTCTGGGAGGCCAGCCAGGTATGCAGACTTGGGCTTCATTACTCTCTGAAGACTTATTCTCAGGACCCCGCTGAGCACCTACTGCTACACCTTTGTGAGGATTAAAGAAACAAACAAAAACTTGCCCCTTCTTCCCTGTGGATACAAAGCTGGGCTCTGGCTACCCTCGAGCAGTGTGCAGCCTGCACAACCATTCCCAGTAGCCCTGTCTGTCACCCAGTACCTCTCAGCTGGCTGTTGCTCCCTCTCCTCCCTCTGGTTGGGTCTGCTGCCAAGCTGTAGTGACTCAGCTGGGCTGGGGCACTAACCCCAGTTCATTGTTTAAAAACTAGCCTGGCTGGGAATTTACAGCCCCCCACCCCCAGCCACCAGGCAAGGGACCATTTCTGCATCTCATATTTCTCTTTAAAAAAAAATTATTGTTGTTCAAGTACAGTTGTCTGCATTTACCCACCCCCCACTCCCCCACATGCATCTCATATTTCTCTATCCTGCCCTCCCTCTGGCCCCATTATGTTCCTCAGATGTGGGCAGGTAAAGCCTGACAGGGGTTTCAAGAATAATCCCATAGACAGGAGAGGATTATGGGTAACCAGAACTTTAAGGACTTTTTATTCACTCCCTGTGGGTCCAATATCAGCTTCTGGGGTCTGGCCTGGATCCACAGAAGTGACAGGCCCTGTCTTAGGCTCTCTGTTTTGGGGGAATGAGGGGACAGTAATTGTGCTTTGTCCTAATTTGAAAAAAGAGGTTCTGCCCCAAGATATCCTCAGTTTGTGGGAACAGAGGAGAAGAGGAGACAAGGCTGTGTTTTGGAAATTTCCAGTCTGTCAGAAGAGGGAAGGCTCAAAAGGTTTTAGGGGGATAGAGGAGATGGTGATATGGAGCTTTTCCTTCCGGTTTCAGGGTGTAAGCTGGAGCTCTGGTTGGGGCCCCTAGTCTGAATTAGGGAAAGGAGTGGGAGGCCTGGCTTTGACCCTGTGCTGTCCCCCATCCCCTGCTGAACTTTGAAGATTCAGAAGGACCCTCTGGAGGGCCCCTTCTGCCTCCCAGGCATGGCTCATCTTCTCCTCCTGCTACCTCTCCAGCTCTGCCTGCTGTTCCTGAGCCTCACGCTTGCCACTATCAATGCCCGTTGGCTGGAACCCCGAACCACAGCTGCCATGTGGGCCCTGCAGACCATGGAGAAGAAGCAGGGCCTGGGTGGGGAGGTGCCAGGCCGCCACCAGGGCCCCGACCCCTACCGCCAGCTGCGGGAGCAGGACCCCAAGTACAGTGCCCTCCGCCAAAAATTCTTCCGCTACCATGGCCTGTCCTCCCTTTGCAATCTGGGCTGCCTCCTAAGCAATGGGCTCTGTCTTGCAGGCCTGGCCCTAGGCCTCAGGAGCCTCTAGCACTCACTGCTGGGGCCCCAAATGTCAATAAACCATTCTTTGGAAATGGCTGCTGTTATATTTCTCCAACAGAGAAGAAGGGGGAAGGGTGGTGGACAAGCTCCACAGCTGAGGGTCTCCCTTTCTGTATTCACAAGGCATGATTTGGAGCATTAGCTATTGCAGCTCCTAAGGCTTCCTATAGTAGTGCCCATTTACTGAGCACCCACGGTTACTAGGCATGGAGGTCATCATTGAACATACCAGACATTATTGTAACAATAGCTGGTTCTGATCCCTAGAGGACAAGCATATTTCTCACCCCATTGACCCTGAAGGTGACTATGTGACTTGCTTTGGCCAATGAAGTGTGAGCAGAGATCCCACCAGCCTTTTCCAAAGGGAAGGGTGCAATGGTCCCCTTCTTATCCATGGGAAATATATTCCAAGATCCCTAGTGGATGCCTGAAACCGTGGGATAGTACCAAACCCTATATATACTATGTTTTTTTTCCTATACATACACACCTTTTCAATTAAAGAAAGCACTTTATGGCTTCTCTGGTATATCTGAGTTGCCAGCATCACTACTTTTGTGCTTTAGAGCCATTATTAAATAAAATAAGGGTTACTTGGACACTAGTACTGTCACACCATAATCGATCTAGTAACTTGGATCACTACTAAGTGACTAACAGGTGGGGAGTGTTCACAGCATGGATATGATGGACAAAGGGATGATTCATGTCCAGGTGTGATGAAGAAGGACAGTGCCAGATTGCATTATGCTATTCAGAATGGTACACAATTTTAAACATAAATTATTTATTCCCAGAATTTCCACCTGATATTTTCAGATCTTGGTTGACTGGGTAACAAACCACGGAGAGAAAACTGTGGATAAAGAAGGACTACTACACAAGCCAGTGCATGGTTCTTCACATTTTCCCTCCTCCACAATGACCAGTGTGAGTGAGAAGCAAACCTTAGGTGCTGAGTGCTATGGGAGTTTGGGGGCTGCTTGTTACTGAGCATATACCAGTCCCTGACTGATGCATGTCATGTTCATCCTCATGGCAGTCCTTAGAGACACCTGCTATTCCCATGAAGCTATGGGACTCAGAGAAGTTGAGCAAGTGGCTTCAGGTGGAGTTGTTGGAATTTGAACACCAGTAAACCTGAACTATTATAATGGCAGATCCTCTCCTAGCATAAAGAAAACTCTAGGACCTCAGCTAGGGCAAGATGTGCCAAATTTTCTCTCTCTGTGGCTTCAGTGAAGGGACTGCTCCTCTCTGAGACTCAATTTCCTTATCTGTAAAAACAGGATTAATTCCCAGGGCCCTTAAGAGTATTTGGCTAGGGGATCTAGCCCACATTAAGGTCAAGCACTGCAATTTACAAACAGCAATTCAGACCAGAACCTGCACACACCCTGTAAGGTGGAGACTCTTGTTACTCAGCCAATTGACTAACAGAAAGTGAGGCCCAGAGAAATTTGTTTGTTTGTTTATTTGTTTTAAGAGAGAGCAGGGGAGGGAGAAAGAGAAAAAAACATTGATCCATTCCACTTTTTTAAAAAGATTTATTTATTTATTTATTTATAGATTAGAAGGAAGGGAGAAAGAGAGGGAGAGAAACATCAGTGCATGGTTGCCTCTTGCACGCCCCTTAGTGGCCCACAACCCAGGCATGTGCCCTGACCGAGAATCGAACTGGCGACCCTTAGGTTGGTAGCCCTTGGTCAATCCACTGAGCTACACCAGCCAGGGCTGTTCCACTTTTTTATGTACTAGTTGGTTGATTCTTGTATATGTACACACTGATTGCAATGGAACCTGCAACCTTTGCATATCCGGACACCGCTCTAACCAATTGAGCAACCCAGCCAAGGCCTCAGAGAGGTTTTTAAGTAACTTGTCCGAAGTCACAGGGCTAGTAAGTGGTGGAGCTGGGATTCGAACCTGACCGCAGAATCCGCGCTCTCAACTGCTCTGCGCATAGTAGGAGCTGTACAGGTAGTTTGTTGCGGAGTGGGCTCCAGACCACTACACGTTCGGGGCTGCTTCCAGGCCCTACCCCCACTTTCTACGAGCTCCGCCCCGGGCTCGGCCCCGCCCTGCCCTCCCTCGGGAGCTGCCCCTCCTCCCCGGCCTGGGCGGAGACCGCTCGGGATCCGGGTGGCTGCCGCTAGCACCAGCGGTGGCTTTGGCTGCGGGGTCGGGGTCGTGGTCGGGGCCGAGGGCAGGCCACAGCGAGTTCGGAAGCGAAAACCCCGCAGGCAACGACCCCACGCGAAGTGACCACCCTCGGAGGAAGCCCGTCCAGCCCCTCACCTCCGCGTCCTAGCAGGTCTGGGGGCACAGAGGGTTGGGGGAGGCCCCCGGGGGAACAAAGACGGGCGGCTGGGGACGCCTCTTCCCTCGCCCCCACGCAGCTGGGCTCGTCGGGAACGTTAATGGAGCGCGGG